ATTTCGTCTTGCGCGCGCGAATGTCCACTTTACCTTATTTTTTGCAAGGGATTCTTGAAATTTGATTATATTAGAACAAGAAATGTCATTTTCTATTGTTTTTTGCAAGGGAAAGCGGATTACAACAAAACAACCGGATCCTGTACACACCCTCTTTTCTGAGGCTTCCTCACGAAAATGATGAAAATGTAGCTGCGGCCTAGGCGGCGCAGGGGGGGCGCGCACCAGGGGGCCCAACAATAATTATTCTTTAGAATAAATAATGTTCAACAATAACAACAACAACAGCAACAATAACAACAACAACAGCAACAACAACAACAACAGCAGCAGCAGCAACAACAACAACAGCAGCAACAACAACAACAGCAACAACAACAACAACACCACCAACACCAACACCAACACCAACAATAACAACAACAACACTAACACTAACAATAACAACAACAATAATAATAAGAATAACAATAATACTAATAATAATAATTTTAGACCATTCGCCCTGATATGCTCGAGTGTCCAATAACGCGTATTTCCCAAACCCTCGATACCCGCCCTCTTCGTCTTCGATCGAACCCCTTTTTGGGGGTATGCCTTTCTTCCCTGCAGGCCGGGCCCCCGCAAGCGGCGGGGCGGCCGCGGACCGTCGGCCTGGCCAGCGGCAGCGCTGATCGGCGGGGCGGCCGCGGACCGTCGACCCGACCCCAAGAGGGACGGACAGGGGACCGACCACGACGACGACGACGACGGCGACGACGAGCGAAAGCGAGAGCGAGAGAGAACGACAGCAGGGCCACGAAGGGCACGAAGTAGGCCACGAAGGGCGACAGCGGGGACACGAAGGGAATTCGTATGGGGCCACGAAGAGCGGGGGCCACGAAGTGCAGATAATGCGGGGTCACAGTAGGCAATTATGGGGCCACTGAGGGTAGCAACTGGGCCACGTAGGACAGTCAGTGAGGGGGCCACAAACGGCGACAGCGGGGCCACGAAGGGCACGCACATGGGGCCACAACGGGCGCGACTCCTGGGTGCTTGGGTGTCGGGAGCGCGGCGCCTAGGCAAATTGCAGGAAATTCCAACGCAAGGCCATTCTTCAGTAAGTTGCAAGCCAATCTCCAGCGAGAACGCGACTCCAGAGCGCCGGGAGAGCGATTCCTGAATAAATTGTCAGGAAGTCCAAAGCGAGAGCGCGATTCCTGAATAAAATGCGAGGAAGTCTCGGGCGGGAGCGGGGGTCCTGGCTAACTTGCAAGGAAGTCTCAGGCGGGAGCCGTTGTTGTTGTAACCCGGGGGCCAGGGGGCCAGTTTGAGCAGGAAGATTGTCCTTGTCAAGAAACAGGGTGCGAGCGTCGAGGGGCACACTTTGATTGAGAAAAAACAGTATGCACCGGTGGGGGGGATCAACAATAATTACTCTTCAGAAGTGAGAATTCAACAACAACAACAACAATTACTAGCACGTGGGGACACACCGTTCTCACCAGTGCCAGGGTTTTCATAGGAGGCGGGCAATACCCCCACTTTGTGGGGGGGCCGGTTCAAGCTCTACCAAATTTCCAAACGACTCTTCGCCACCACCCACACCCAGCTTCCCGCCCTATGACGTTCGGACACTTCACTTCGTGGCATGCGGACGACCGTGGCTACTATTCAGGGCCCCGCGGCCGACGACGACGGCGTGCGCGCGCGAAGAAAAAACGAATGTGTCCCGCATGGTATTATTTGACAGGGATGATGGCCCTGGCAGGTGCGCAACCGTTGTTGCAGAAGTTCGAAAAAGTTGCTCGCAAAAGCCCGTTTGACAGAAATGATTAAAAAGTGTTGGGTTTCCTACGAATCCGCAAGAGCGCGCGGGATGAAATTTTGACATTTTTTTTTTTTTTTGAAAAACCATTGGTTTTTTGATGTTTTTATGTTAAAATCGCTACGAAAACTAAGGTTTTGGAAGGATTTCGTCTTGCGCGCGCGAATGTCCACTTTACCTTATTTTTTGCAAGGGATTCTTGAAGTTTGGTTATGTTAGAACAAGAAATGTCCACTTTAGCTTATTTTTTGCAAGGGAAAACCGATCGTAACAACACAACCGGATCCGGACCAACCCGTTTTGCCTGAGACTTCCTCACGAAAATGATGAAAATGAGGCTGCGGCCTAGGCGCGGCGGGGGGGTCGCGCACCAGGGGTCCCAACAATAATTATTCTTAAGAAGAAATAATGTTCAACAACAACAACAACAACCACAACAACAACAACAACAATAACAACAACAACAACACCAACACCAACGACAGCAACAACAGCAACAGCAACACCAGCAACAACAACAAACATACCACCAACAACAACGACAACGGCAGCAACAACAACGACAACAACAATTTCAACAACAATAACACCAACAACAACCACAACAACAACAGCAACAACAGCAACAATACCAACAACTACACCAACAACAGCAACAACAACACGACCAACAAACAAACAAACAAACAAACAAACAAACAAACAAGCAAACAACCAAACAGCAACAATACGCCCCATCTCGGAATCCCACTTCGGCCACGCACCCAGGGACAGTGAATGACCGTTCGGCCCCCTCAACTCTGATGTTTATGTCATCGTTTGCTCCCCGAAACCTCATCTCGAGGTTCCTGGTTTTCGTCAAGAGGGAAAGAAACACACAGACACAATTAATCGGCGATTCCCCAGAAAATATGGGAAAATATGGGAAGTGGGGGGGAGACAAAAACCTAGAAAATATGGGAAACTATGGGGAATATTTTTATTTGTGTGTATTTATTTGTGTGTCCCAGGGCCCCTTCATTTCGGGCGATTCTGTCCGTTTTCGTCGGCTGTCCAGCCCCGTGATGCGTTCCAACCGCTGCGCCTCGGCGTTCCGGGGTGTGCCCGGATCGTCCCGAGCGGCCGCCGGAGACCCGAGGCATGACCCGAAGGTTCTGAGGTTTTTCAGGAGGGAAAGAAACACACAGACACAATTAATCGTCGATTCCCCAGAAAATATGGGAAAATATGGGAAGTGGGGGGGAAGACAGAAATCCAGAAAATATGGGGAAATATGGGGAATCGTTTTATTTGTGTGTATTTATTTGTGTGTCCTAGGGCCCCTTCAGCTTTCTGAGGTTCGGAGGTCGCCGAGCGCGTTCCACTGCCCACAAAGTGCCTACTTGCAGACGTCTGAAAAGCCCGCGTTCGCCTCGATGCGATATATCGTAAGCCCCTCACGGCGGATCCGGGCCATTTGCGAGTAGGGACTTTGCGAGTGGCGGAACGTGCTTGCCTAAAAGGGACGGATCACATCAGCGGCGGGCGGATGGCCCTCGGCGGATGCGGCGTCGCGGGAGGCGGCGCCGCCGGCCGTCGTCGCCGTCAGAGGCGGAGGAGCGAGGAGCGAGGAGGAGCGAGGAGCGAGGAGCGAGGAGGCCCGAGCTATCCCCCCGAGGCTCGTGTGAGGAGGGCCCGTCGAGGCGGTGGCGGCCTGCCCTGGCGTCTGGCTGGCCCTCTGGGGGCCTCGTGGCGGCGTGTCTCGTCGCCGCGGCCGGGTCCGCCTCGGAAAGCGGATCGGGATGCAGAGCAGGGCTGGACCTGAGCGTTGCTTTTCGTGTTGTTTTCGTTTTGTTTTTCGTTCTGCTCGACCTGTTTGCCTGCACCTCCCTCCCAAAACGAAAAACAAAACAGAGCCGAAGTCCAGCAAAACAGCGTTTAGGTCCAGCCCTGATGCAGAGGTCCGAGGCGGGAGTTTACACATGACCACCGCCTGCAGGATCAGATTTCCGGGGGAAACCATTAAGGAACATTCCCCCGCTCCCCCAAGCTCAGAGCTGACACGCGCCAGAAAGGCTGCGGTCGAAGTGCAACTCACTCGACCCACCGCCAACATTGATCACTGGGGGGGGACATTGGAGACTGTTTTTTAGGGTCCGGACCCCGGTTATCGGGCTTGCCTCCCCTCCCCCCACCCCCCCAGGATAACCTAACCTTGCCTGATGTGCAGGTCCGCGGGAGGGGGGGCGCGGGCATATGCAAGGCTGCCCACAGTGCGAGGGTTAGGTTATCGGCCGGCCCCCTCCCCCCCCCCCCGGGATAACCCGGGTTATCGCCGATTCAAAAAAAACGGTCTCTTGACAGATGCACGTGGCACGAGTGTTCGCTAACTTCTTCCGAAGGCCTGTCGCCGCAGCTGGGCCCTTCTCGGATTGAGTCGGGCTTGTCCCTCTACAGGAGGAATTCTCAGAAATAGTAATAAAGCTAGTCTGGGGACGAGGCTTTCCAATAGAATCCCTTTGTAGTGCTTCCCAAAGGATTCCCTTGATGAGGCTTTCCAATCGAATCCCCTTGTGGTGCTTTCCAAAGGATTATTTTTGTGAGGCTTTCCAATATGATCCATTGAGATGCAGAGGCGGAGGAGGAGGAGGAGAAGGAGGAGGAGGAGGAGGAGGATGAGGAGGAGGAGGAGGAGAAGGAGGAGGAGGAGACGAGATAGAGAGAGAAAGAGAGAGAGAGAGAGAGCGAGCGAGAGAGAGAGAACGAAGAAGAGTGGAGTAGGATGAGGAGGAGGAGGAGGAGGAGATATGTATGATCATGTGTGTGGGGGGGGCGAGCTATATGGTCGCCCCCCCACCCACATGATCATAATTATCTCCTCCTCCTCTTCATCCTCCTCCACTCTTCTTCGTCCTCTCTTTCTCTCTCTCTCTCTCGATCTCTCTCTTTCTCTCTCCCTGTCTCTCTCTCTATATCTCTCTCTCTCTCTATATATATATGTATATATATTGGTGCTCTGGAGCTTTATCAGTGTTTTCATCGGACCGCAGCTCGCTCTGGTTCTAGCCATTGTATGGCGGAGCCAGGTGCCGCACGCCCCCACCTCGGCGCTGGGCCGATCGTCCTTGCGGCGGCGGCGGCAGGCGCTGGGCGCTGGTCGCACTTCCTCGAGGGGGTCGACTGGCGCGACTGGTGGGCCCTCGCGCCCCAGCCTGGGCCCAAGTACGGGCACGTGCCCGACTGCCCGGAGTGCCCGCCCTGCCAGAGCGTGGTCTCCATCGACGACGATTTCCTGGCTCGGATCCCCTGGGACTGGGTGGACCGGCTCATCTTCTTGCTGGCCGGGCTTGGGCTCGGCAAGGTGCGCCTGGGCTGTACGTGCAGCAGGCGTGCGTCGCGGCGGTCGGTCCCGCTGCACGATCACTACGACAACGAGGACTTTCTGCACTCCAGGATTGGCCCCGGTGGGCGAGCGGGCGTCTCCAGTCCGTCTACACCGCCCTCGGCCAGCTCGGCCGTCTGGCGCCCTCGTCGGTCTCCTCCTCGTGCTCTTCCTGCTCCTGAGTGATGGCCAACGCCGCCGACTTCCGAGGGCTGGACATTGTGGAGCCCCAGATCGCGGTGTACTTCCCCGAGGATGCGAACGTGAATTGGCACACCAGGATCCTGCTCGAGAAGTTGAACGATCAGGGGCGATGGGTCGTGGCCACACCCGACGGCGACATCCAGGTCATCGACTTGGCTCAGTATCGAGTCTTGCCGATCCCTCGGAATGCTCCAGCGCCAGCGCGCCTCCGCAACAATCACTACCACTCCGGGGACGTGAACGAGGAGACGCTGGCGGGCTGGCATCGGGCGGCCCGGCAGTTGGCCGTGGTGCTCGGAGGTGTGGCTGCGGTGGCTGCGGGGAACGTGGAGGCCAAGTGGTACTACTCCGACACGGCGGACGACGAGTTCGGAGAGGCCGTGGAGGACGCGGTGCTGGCGAACCCGGCTGGCTTCATCAACCGGGATGCGAAGGGGATGGTGGAGGTCCGCGACGCTGGGGGGGACCACCACTGGCGCTTCGTGGAGCGGGTGTCCCGCACGGACTACACGGACTGGCTCAACGAGAAGCGGAATGGCCCCGGCCGGGATCCCCGCATCCCCCCACTCGAGCGGGACGCGGCCGGCCGACGGCACCTCCTGCTTCGGGACGCCATGGCGGTCATGACCCCGTTCAAGCCGAAGCCGCCCGACGACTGGCCGTTCCGAGGGCCCTCGGCGTGCGCCGAGTTGTTCGCTGCGATTCGGGGGTCGGGCCACGACATTGGGTCTCTACCACGACTTCTACCTCACGAGCTCCGGCCTCTCGCCCGAGCATCCCGTGGCCCACAAGCACCGCGACCTCCTGATCGTCGTGCATCACCTTCTCTCCTACGACCAGGTGAATGGTCAGCAGAGTGCCGGCGCGGAGGCAGCCGCCCGACTCGCCCTTCAGATCCATGCTGCCGTGATGAGGAATGCGAAGGCGCCGGACTTCCGAGGCACGGGGGTGATGGTCCACAGCAGCCTGGCCACGGGAGGCTCCACAATGGTGGGCGACTTCGCGAAGTGGACCGCCGAGGAGCAGAAGACGGAGGCCTTCACCATGAAGCAGCACCGCCTCTACGCAGAGGAGCTCGTCAACGCCTCGAAGGCCCCCCCGCCCAGGAAGGGCGACGGGGGGAAGTGATCATCGATCGGTCCTGGCAGGAGGAGGCCGCCCCGCCGCGCTGGTCGGGATGCCTCCTGTCATGTCCGCGCACCGTGGTCAGCCTGACCCGGGCGTTGGCCTTTTTCCTCTTCGTCTTCGGCATCGGAGCGCGGAGGATCGTCAGGGATTACCTCGGTATCTCCGCCGGCGTCTGGCCGCGCAGGACGAGCGCGAGAATTTTGTGGCTGACGCCGTCTCGTCGCTCAACTCCCTGTACTCCTCCGCTGGCTCAGGGTACTCGACCTACGAGTTCCCCAGCCGCCACAAGTCCGGCGAGCCGGTCTCCGCCTTCAACGACGCGGTCTTCGGGAACGTCGGCCGTGCTGTCAGTGCCTTTCTCCCTCGGCCTGACGAACGACAGCTTTGTCCAGGAGGAGCCTTGTGTGAGCTCCTCAAGTGCAAGGATATCTACGACACGGACCAGGACACGACGGTGGCGCCTTTCGACCCGGAGAAGCTCCGCGTGCTCAAAGGTGACCTCCGCCCTCAACCCATGGAGCGCCTCGTCGGGCCGACCGCCCGGCGCAAACTCCTGGACCCTCAACGTCGCATCTTTCGGCCGCAGGCGGAGGTGGATGAGCTTCGCGATCTTCCACGAGCTCATTGGGATCCTCGCCTTGTTGGGCCTCAGTCGGAGCGGGGGGTCCTCATACAACAGTTGGAGAAGGCTGGACTTATCACATGGCGTACTCGGATTCGGTCTCGGGTGGGTGCCTTCTTTGTCTGGAAGAAGAATGGGGCTATTCGACTCGTTCTCGACTGCAGGGCCACCAATGCCCTTCACCGTGACCCACCGCGATCTTCCTTGGCTACGCCAGCGGCCCTGGGACATGTGCTGGTGGGCCCGGCTTGGGAGCTCGCCGACTCAGCCACCGCGCCGGACGAGAGGAGGGTTGACCCCTCCGATGTCCCGCACGCGGCCAGCATCGACCTCCTCGACGGCTACTACCAGTTCAGCAACGACAGCATGGCCTCGTGGTTCGCCCTCGGCTACCACGTCTCCGCGTCGGAGGTCGGCGTCGCTGAGGAGCTCGACGAGGAGACCGGCGAGCTCGTCCCCGTGCCCGCCACGGCGCAGGTGGAGGCGTGCTTCCGCGGAATGCCGATGGGGTGGAGCTGGGCGCTCTACTTCTGCCACGATGCTCTCTCAGAGTGTGGTCGGAGAGCCCAGCTTTCTCTCGGCCTTCCCGCGGACGTGGTGGGAGATCGTCAGGAGGCACCTGTCCTCCATCTTCACACCGCACGGGTCGCACCCTACGTCGACAACGGGAACGTGGTGGCGGGCTCCCGGCGGCAGTGCGAGGCCCTCCTCGACGCGCTCAAGCGGGAGCTGCAGTCCGCGGGGCTCGCCGTCCACGAGGAGATCCGCCCGTGCCGCGAGATGGAGATCCTCGGCCGAGTCTGGGATGGTCGTCGTGGCGAGGTGCGCCCGCGGCCCGCCCGGGCCTGGCGGCTCTGGTACGCGTTGGACACGCTGTTGGGACAGAAGCGGAAGCTGGCGCCGCAGATGGCCAGGCGGCTGGCGGGGCACCTCGTTGACCTGCTGGCGATCCGACGCGAGTTCCTGTCCGCTTTGTGCCACCTGTACCGATTCATCGGGGACGGGACTGGGCCGCCGCGGGCCTTGCCAGGCCCTCTTCTGGTCGAGCTCCGCATCATCAAGGGCCTGCTGCCGCTGGTCGTCCAGAACTTCTCCAAGCCCCCCTTCTGGGCGTATGTATTGCAGTGACTCCTCTGGCTTCGGGTACGCGGTCCACGTGTCCGACGTCAGTCCTCAGGAGCTACTCCCAGAGGTCGGCTGGCGAGAGCGCTGGCGATTTGTCGACCCGACGCCCGAGCCGACGCAGGACTTCCCGCTGGCGGCCCCTGCGGCGCCCCCTCCGGTGGCGCCGGACTTCATGGCCTGGTTTGAGTCTGAGGTCGGCGAGGCTGATCGCGGCCTCACTTACTCTCTCGAGAAGCCCCAGGGAGTCCCTCCGCTTCGGCCCGAGCGATCGCAGCAGGAGCGCGTCGGTCTGGTCCCTCGGCTGGCCGACGGGCTGGTGGAGCCCGGGCGTTGGACCCGGGTCCGACGCGGGGTTTGGCAGCGGCCAGCCGCCATCCACAACAAAGAAGGCCGGGCCGCCGTGTACGGACTCCTGCACGCCGCCAGTGACGTCTCCAACTTCAACACCGTGGTGCTCGCGCTCGGGGACAACCTGGCCGAGGTCCTCGCCACCGACCGCGGGCGGGCCCGCGACCTCGAGCTGCTCGCGGTCTGCCGGCGGGCCGCAGCGATCCAGGGGGCCACGGGCATCCGATGGGTTCGCCGCTACGTCGAGACGGCCCGCAACCCGTCCGACGCCGACTCCCGCTGGAAGGACGACAAGTCGCAGCACGCCAAGCTGGCACTGGCGACGCCCACGAAGCTGTCTGCTGCGGTGCCGCGGACGTGGACCGCGCTGGAGCGGGAGCCGCCGCCGGAGCCGTGCGACGCGCGGCCGCGGCTGCGACCGCCGCCCGGGCTGCCGGCGCCACAGCGCCGCCTGCCGCCGCGAGGAGCCCCGCGAGCCGAGGGGGGGGAGATTCAGACTCCTGCCGTCACACCTCTCGGCCGTGCCTCCGCGGCGGCCCAGGGCGCTGGCGCCGGCCTGCCCGGGCCTCAGGCTCGGCCGCGGCCCGACGCCCGGGCTCGTCCACGGACTCAGGATCGCGGCGGACACCGAGGACGGGATCGAGTTCGGGATGATCCACGACCCGATCGCCAACCTGGTCGTCGGCCTCCTGGGCGGCCTCCTGACGCTCCTCTCCGGGGGCATCGGGCCGCGGAGGCGGCCCCGGCGGGCGTCGCGGTGCTCGAGCTTTTCGCGGGCTGCGCCTTCTTGTCGAGCGGGGTGCGGGCTGCCGGCATGCGCATCGGGGTCCCGTGCGAGCTCGACCACGGCTCCCACTTCGACCTCACGCGGCCCCGTGTTCAGGCCGAGGTCCTTCGCTGGCTACGGGATGGGCGAGTCTGGCTGGCGTTCTTTGGCACCCCGTGCGGGCGCTGGTCTCAGGCGCGCAGCGCCGGGCGAGCGGGGACAGAGGTCGACCGAGCGGGTTACGCCTGCGCTCGCTTCACCGTCAGGGTGCTCCGACTCTGCCGCCAGCTGGGGATCTACGTGGCCCTGGAGAATCCGCGGCGGAGCGGTTTGTGGGACTGGCCGCCCCTGGCAGCGGAGCTTCGGCGCAGCGGCTGCGCCCACTTCGACTTCGACATGTGCGCATTCGATGCCGCCTGGAGGAAGCCTACCCGACTCGCCACCAACTTGCCCGGGGCCGACTCTCTCGAGCGCAGATGCCCCGGCCATCGACGACATGTCATCTTGGAGGGGAAAGTCGGAGGGGCATCTGGACCTGCAAGGTGGCGGACCTCCTACGGGGGCGCGTACCCGCCGAAGCTCTGCCGGACCTTCGCGAGGGTGGCTGCTGGCGCTGCTCCTGCTGGCGCGTGGTGCCTCCGCGGCGAGGGGCAGACCTCCGACTGGTGGGAGGACCGGCTGCTGGACGCCGCCGGGCTTGCGGGCGCCGGCGCGCGGGGCCGACGTGCGGCGCCCCCGCGACTCCCTCGCGACGCCTCCCTCGGCTGGGAGGGGTGCACGCGGCGCTGGAGCGGGAGGCCGCTCGCAGAGGAGCTCCGCATCCTCGCCGAGATCCGCGCCTATAATCGCGCCCATGACCCGCAAGCGGCGGCGCGCCAGCAGCGTGGTCGACTCGGCCCCCGGCTTCCTGCGACGGGCCACCGTCTCGGCCAGGACCCGCGACACCTACGCCAAGGCCTTCGCGCTGGTGCAGCGGTTCGCGGCCGGGCGGGGGGCCTCACCGCAGACCATGAAGGAGTGGGGCGCCATCCTCCACGACTACCTTGAGATGGAGTTCTTGGAGGGGGCCTCGGCGGCTGTCGGACGCGTCGCTCTCTACGGCACGGCCTGGTCTCTCGACTTCGTCACCCGCAATCCGTCAGTGCTGCCCCTCTCGAAGAAGGCCCTCAAATGCTTCGCCAGCATCCGCCCCGACACCATGCGCGACCCGCCGCCGCTGGAGGCGATCTGGTGCCTGGTGGGGCGGCTGCAGCTGGCCAACACCGTAGACTGCGACCTCGCCTCGGCCTTTTGCCTCCTCGCCTTCGACGCCTACCTCAGGCCTTCGGAGGCCCTCGAGTTGACTGCCGCCCAGGTTATCCCGCCGAAGCGTGGCACGGCCAACCGCTCGTGGGCTCTTGTCGTGGCGCCAGAAGGAGGCAAGCCTGCCAAGAATAAGCAGTTCGACCAGGGGGTGAAGATCGGAGCCTTCGGGCGATCGTTTGCAGTCGACGTGCTCCAGAAGATGTACCACCGCGTGCTGCCAGGCACGCTGCTGTTTCGTCACCTCACGCTCGCCGAGCTCGAGGCCATCTTCCGGAAGTATGGTGATGTCGACGGCGTCAAGATCACACCCCACTGCCTGCGTCACGCAGGCCCCTCCCACGACATGCACTACAACGGCGCCTCGCTCGACTTCGTGATGATGCGAGGCCGCTGGTCAGTGGTCAACCCCGTGCGCAGGTACGGCAAGCCGGCCAAGCTCCTGCGCCAGTTGGCAAAGCTGGAGCGCTCGACGGTCCTCGAGGCGCCGAGCCGCGCCGCCCGGCTCCCAGGGGAGGTGCTGGCGCGCCTCGCGACGCGGCTCTCTGCCTAAATATTATCCTCCTGCCCTCGTCCTCCGTCTTGTGCTCCGCTGTCTTGGGTTGGGCGCCTCCCTGGTGTCCGGGCGGATCGACTTCCCTCGGCCCTTGGGGGCCCTGGCTTGTCGATCCTTTGCCGTCCTGCTGGGTCCTCGTTTTGTTGAGCTCCCAGAACACGACTCGCAGATTATCGGCTGTAGGCAGTTTTGGAACGGTTGCACTCGACGGGAATCGTCTCGCTTTTGATGTGGCCCAGTGGGGCCCCAGGTACTTCGCCTCCCGTGGAGGCGCTGGCATGGAATGCCGATCGGGGCAGTAAAAAGGCATTGATTGGTGCTCTGGAGCTTTATCAGTGTCTTCATCGGACCGCAGCTCGCTCTCCTCCTCCTCTCCTCCTCCTCTGCTGGTGTGATTGGCTGGGTCTGCCAGTATCTTTTCTTGAATTTGTCGAGCTGCGGTACAGTGTCGTGTTCTGGGAACGGTTGCACTCGACGGGAATCGTCTCGCTTTTGATGTGGCCCAGTGGGGCCCCAGGTACTTCGCCTCCCGTGGAGGCGCTGGCATGGAATGCCGATCGGGGCAGTAAAAAAGGCATTGATTGATATATATATATATATATATATATATATCTTCTCCTCCTCCTCCTCCTCCTCCTCCGCCTCCTCTGCATCGCAAAGGGATTCTATTGGAGAGCCTCATACAGGGAATCGTTTGGAAAGCACTACAAAGGGATCCTATGGGAAAGCCTCACAAAAGAAATCCTTCGAAAAGCGCAGCAAAGGGATTCTATTGGAAAGCCTCACAGCAGGAATCCTTTGGAAAGCAAGTCGGGCCCAGCATCGTCGGGCGTTAGAGATGACAGTGCTAGCGAGATGTCTCTGCCAGCGTAGAAGGCGAAGCCCTAGGAATTATTATAGTGGCAATAAGAACAACCATACCTGCAGGTGTTTTTAAGCTGACCTTGAACTAATGTTGGAGAAGAAGGATCTCCAGGCGAGCTCATGCAGCGAACGGTCATGTGATGAAAAACGTCGGCCCCTCCTACTCCCTCGTCCTCCTCCCACACACACAGTCAAAACAGTAAACCAAAAATTGCGCGGCGCCGAGGCGAGAGCGTCATTTTTGAAAAAGTGCGCGCGGCGCCGAGGCGAGAGTGCGACATTTCGATACACGGGGTGTGGCAACCGCACACTCCACAATCCCCTGGCCTCTATTTCTGAGTCTCTTGGACTTGTCGCCCAACAAGATCCTTCTGTAGGAGGACATGCCCGACCTAAGCTTCTCGGCTTGAGGGCGGGTCGTCTTGAAATTGTGGCTCTCGCCTAAGCGCCCCGGACATTCGTTTTAAACAATTTACAGGTTTCACGGGTTCGTGGCGGGTCGTTTTCAAGATATGGTTCTCGTCCTAGCGCCTCGCACATTCGTTTTGAATATTTGCAAGAGCTTCACTGATTGAGCGCAGGTAGTTTTCAATATGTGGCTCTCGCCTTAGTGACGGCACAGTCGTTTATAAAATACAAAAAGTTTTACGGATTGAGGGCGGGTCGTTTTCAACATATGGTTTTCGCCTTAGCGCCGCGCACATCCGTTTTAACAAATTGCAGGAGTATTGATTTGGGGCGGGTCGTTGTCAAAATGTGGCTTTCGCTTCAGCGCCTCGCACATTCGTTTTAAACATTTGCAAAAGTTTCACGGAGTCTGATGATCAACGTACCAGAAATGGTGTTTTTGAGGAACACGCGGGTGCAACAGTTATGTTGATTCGCGGTGTTGAAGTCCCACAAATGGCGTTCTGGCACGATTCCATATCGCCAGGACGCAGCAGTCAGGCTGATCCGTGGCGTGGAAATTATGAGAGCCATGTTTTCGCATGCTTCAAGGTCTTCAAACGGTTGTCTTCCAACGAGGCAGTGCCTTTACTAATGGAGATGAACCGCTGTATGGGGCCTATAAAAAGTGAGTTTGGAAGGGAGGTTAATTCCAACATCGTTGATGACTCTTGGGTTTACACAGGTCCTCCTCCTCCTCCTCCAGAAAATATGCAAATATTAAAAAAGCTCTCGTTACGTGTAGAGCATGCAAGCTTGGTGCTGCTTGCAAAGCAAAAAATAGTTTGTCGCAGCTCTGGTAGCAGATCGATCTCAGACGTCGCACATAGTTGTTCTAGCCACATCTCTGATAGCAGACCGATCTCAGCCGTCTAAATGCTTTAGACCAGCGCTTCTCAACATTTCTTGCCGATTGGTGTATATATCCTCCTCCTCCTCCTCCGCCTACCCCCTCCTCCTCCTCCTCCTCCTCCTCCTCCTCCTCCTCCTCAGACCTCCTCCTCCCAACTTACAAGAAGAAACACAACTGCATAAGCATGACCGTTCGGAGTTCCGCGCGAATTTCGTGGGTCGGCGTCGGCGCTGGGCCATCTTCGCGGCGCCTCTGGTGCCGCCCTTCTGGAGAGCTCCGCGCTCCAGGGAGGGGGGGGGGTCAAACGCCGATGCGAGGAATCCACGCGGAGCTCCGAAGGCTGATGTCTGCGCAGCTGTTTCCTCCTCCTCCTTCTCCTCCTCCGTTTCCTCCTCCCCTCCTCCTGTTCCTCCTCTTCCTTCTGCTCCTTCTCCTCCCTCCTCTCCTCCTCCTCCTCCTCCTCCTCCTCCTCCTCCTCCTCCTCCTCCTCCTCCTCTCCTCCTCCTCCTCCTTCTGCTTCTTCTTATCCCCATCGCGCCCGCTGATTGCAGTCGTCTGCAGCTTCTCGGCCCGAGCTTGCCCCGCTTCGGCCCCCGCCGCCCCTCCCGCGCCCGCGCGACCAGGGGCGCCGGGAGCCTGCGCCGGCCCCCGCTGCTCAGGTGTCCATCGACTTCTACGCGGCGGCGGCTTTCTTCTCGGACCACGCGTGGGCCGCCGCCCAAGGCGGTGGTCCACTCTCCCCCCTCGAGCGCGGTATTGCACGGGGCCCACTTTCCCGTCAATCCGTTCTCGTGTGGGGCGAGCCCGACTGCGCCGAGCAGCCAGTCGGTGACGGCACGGGGTTGCCTCCCTGTTCGGGTTGGCTCGCGCCACTCCTTCCTGCACGCCGCTTGCCTGCAGGCGGGGCGCTCGCGCGCCCCTCAGGCCACCTGTCCTACAGGCGCCTGTCGCCAACGGCCTCCTGGCCCATGGCGTCCGCGGCTGCACCCCCAGCTTTCCGCGGTACCGACCCGCCGCGCTGGTGCCCCCCGACGGGCCCGCCGCCTCCTCTGCAGCAAAACCTTCCTCCACCTCCCCCTCCTTTCTCCCGCCATTCTTCCCCTTCTTCCTCTGGGGTGGCGGAGTTGGAGACTCATGGGAGGACCGGAGGAAGGAGAGGTGGAGCTTGCACGCCATGTGCTGCGGCACCTGATCAGTCCAATGTCTCACGAGGTGCTCCGGCGCACAGCTCCTACGCCCGCCTCCCGATGGCCCCAGACGGCGCACTGTCTCTGCCTGCCAGTCGTGCCGCCAGCGAAGCCACTGCCGATGAGAGCATCCCTCAGAGCCGCCCGTCAGAGGGCACAGGCGCCAACGGTGCGAAGACAACCGCGCTATGGGTGGAGGAGCCGGAGTTGGTGGACCCTTCTAACCTCCACCTCCTCGCTACTCCTTCTCCTCCGCTCGCCGCCTCGCCCCGGCTCAACCTTGATGCTTGGCGGAGCAGACCTCGTGCGGACACCTGTGGCTTCGAGGTCGCTGAAGGCTTTTCCTGTCCCGCGGGGCGGGGCGCCGGCGGCGCTACGACGATTCCGCCCTATCCTGGCTGGGACGCTCCAGCGCGCGAGCCGCCCGACTTGCCTGGGCTGGCGAGTACGGTGCAACGCCCCCGCCCGCCTCCAGGGCTGGATCCTCCACCGCTTTCCATGAGCTTGCAGGCGGACTCGCCGCCAGGCTTCGCTGGGCTGGAGGGCGCCCCGCTCGCGATGGGGCCGTTCCCCACTCTCGCTGACGTGGAGGCTGGTGCTCGCGTGCCCCCGTCAAATTCCATGATCGCCATCGCTCCGACATATGGGGTTCACCTGTCAGGAGGTGCCAACTCGCAGTGGACTTTCATCGAGAAGCACGTTTCGCACCCTCTGGTGCGCACTTCCTTTCTGCCGCCGATGCACGCGTGGGACCCGCACACGGGCTCCGACATTCAGAGCGTGGCTCCGCCCCCAGGCTTCGCCGGCTTGGAAGCTGGCGCACGGGTGCCGCCTTTGGTCGACTCCCGCGCGTCCGATGCAGCGGGTGGGGGTCCGTGGCTTAGCGGCGAGCGTCTGCCGTGCACCGGGTCGTCGCCACTGCCGTTTTGGCGCCCCACGGCCGCCGTCGGTGACCGCGCGGCTGGCGGAGCCGCCGTGAGTGCGGAGTCGCCTCCTGTCGGTGGTGGCTCGCCTTCCCACGTCGGGCGGGTTGGGCCGCCGCCGGGCCTCGCCGACCCACAGGCGGGAGTTCATACGCACCCGTCTCTCCACCCTAGCAATGTTCGCCCGGCCTCTTTGACTGCACAACCGAACCTGGAGTCCGCCGCCGTGGCGCCGCCGTCGACGCACGTCTGCGCGACCGCTGCCTTGGTTGGGACTCCGGCGCTTGTCAGCAGTATTCACCTGGTCGCTACGCCAGGCGGTACCTCGACGGCTCGGTGTCACCATTCACCGCCTGGGCTCGTGGCGCTGTCGGGTCCCGAGGCCTGGTGTGCGGGTCTGCCTCTGGACCTCGCCGGTTTGGATGCGGGTGTGCGGATGCCGCCGTCGCGCTATCCATGCTCGGCCGTTGTTGAGGTGGGGGTTCCCATGCTTGGTGCTGGGTCCCACCAGTGGGCCTTCGATTCGGGGCGAACCGTGATCCCGTTCTTGCGGACCCCGCCCTCGCCTCCGGCGCAGCCTCCTGCGCTCGGTGCCACTCGTTCAAGCTTCCGCGACATTTCGCAGACGCTCGGTCTAAGCGGGGGTCCATCCACGCCCCCGATGGGCCCGCCGCGCCACGATGTGGCGGTTGCACTGGAGCCAGGCGCCACCGCTGGTGCATCCTGGGCGGCCCGCGCAGCGGTTGCTCGCGAGTCATCCTCGACGCCCCCCCTGCTGCCACGATGGGGGTCGGTGGGCGGGGGGTCGCTTCGAGCGCTTCGGACGCGGATTCTGCTCCCAGACGCGCCACTGGCGGGCCCCCAGCGATGTTCGGGGGACCCCCTGCTGTGCACGCAGTCTCGCTTGCGAGCAGTCCCACCACAGCGAGGGCGCCCACTGCCATCGGTAGCGTGGTGGACGCGCCAGAAACGCCCGTCCGCAGTGCCTCGACCGAAGCTGCGATCCCCACGCCTCGGGGCGCTTGCACTCGGAACGCAGCGGGCACTCAAGCAGCGGGATCACCTCCAGGCCTCATCGGCCCCGCCGCGGGCTCCTCGGGTGAAGGCGTCGCCGCAGCCGCTGCCATTGCAGCGAGGCCCCGACGCTTCTCGTGCAATCGGATCCAGGGCCCCGTCGCGTCGATCCCTGCCCGCGCTCGCGAGCGCCTGCTGGCCGACCCTCGTGGTCTGAGCCCCTCTCCGTCCCCACTGGTAGGCATGCGCCCCTCCAGCGATGCTGTTGCGGCCCCGCAGGGAGGGGTTCGTGCCGCCGGTGGAATGTCAGGAGCGGGCTCGCCCGCGGCGGACACGACGCCCCGCGATGCGGTCCCTGCGCTCCGCTCTGGTCGAGGAGTCGCTTTCGCCGCGGGCTCCTCGGATGAATGCGTCGCCGCAGCCACTGCCACTATAGCGCGGCCCCGTCGCCGCTCGGCCTCCACCAACAGCAACCCCGCACTCCCCGCCTTCAGGCTCCGACGTGTTCGTAGGGTCCGCACTCGGCGTGGAGGACGGCGGGGTCGTGGGGCCGCCGATGGTAGCTGCTGTGCAGCTCACGCTCCAGCCCATGCTGGTGCGACTGCCTCGTCTACGGACGCCCTCGTCGGTGCTTCAGAGGCCGCTTCTGGGGCCCGTGCTCCAGGGAGCCGCAGTTCGCTGGTGCAGGTGGCGGCGGGCCCTTGCCGCGCCGCTTCCGCCGGCTCCCAGGCCGCCGGCGATGCCGCCCTCCATGGCGGCGCATCCCAACACAGGGGTGGACGCACGCGCCCTGCGTGCCCTGGCCGAGGGCTCACGCAGCGGCGAGTCGCTGAAAGCGACGACGCTGCTGCTGCCAAGCGTGCCTGGGCTGAGCGAGGCCGTGAGAGTAGGCACGCGCTCCTCCAGCGATGCTGTTACGGCCCCGCAGGGAGGAGCTCGTGCCGCTGTCGCGACTCTCGCTCTACCCCCGGCTCCCCCTCAGGGCCGAGTGGCCAGTTTGGCCAGTTTCACCATGCTGCCGGAGTCCATGCCGTCGGTGACTCAGACGCGCCGTCCTTCGGTTCTATCGGTTCTGGTGGCAGTGGGAAGCCCCTTCGAGGTGACCTGTCCTCAGGGGTCACAGCCGCTCCACAGGCCCCTCGATTTGACTTGTCCTCAGGGGCCGCTGCCAGTTCCGAACCCTCTCGCGTTGATTCGCCCGCAGGGGATTTAGACCCGAGGTCGTCTGCACCTGCCAGCACCACGCCATGCCATTCTGGTCGGTTTCACCGCGGTGCTGAGGCCCACGCTCCTGGGGCTTCAGCCCGTGCCAGCACGGGCATTGGCAGATCTGCGCCCTTCGTGGCCGATCTGTCCGCCTTGCTGCGCCTGTTCCCAGGCGCCAGCATCGACGTCACCCACTGGGCCGCTGCTCTTGCCCAGGTCGGGATGGGGACTCGATGCTCCCTTGCCGCTTTTACCCGCACTTCCCTCTGCGCGCCGGATTGGGACGACTCGTACCTGTCGGAGTCGGTTCCCCGCGATCCATGGCCGTGCCCTCCGTCGCCGCCTTTACCGCCGCCGCCTGGCCACCTGTCGGGTCGCGCGCGTGAGCGCTGGCGTGTGAGGCGCGCCGCCCGCACGTTGTCGCAGCATGCTGTTGTTGCGCTCAACTGGCTCACCCTGGGCCATCCGAGCTTCGCTCCCGCCGAAGCCAAAGTGCGGGCAACGGTCACACCCTGCCAGGAGGGTATCCGCAGTCGCCTCGAGCGTCTGTGTCGGATCGCAGTTCGCCTTGCCCGCGGCGGCAAGAGCGACCTTGGTCGAGCTTTCGCTAAGTTCGACTCTACCGAAGTCTCGCTCCATGGCCTGGCCACCCATGTCGCAGCTCTTGAGGCTTCTTTCACATCCTCTTCCCAAGTGCCCGCCCCCATGCGGCAACTCCCCGTCAGCGCGACGCCCTTGGCTAGCTCGTTGGCGGCCGCGGCAGGCTGGGACTCCACCCAGGCTGAGCCTTTCGACCTTCGGGTCCAGGCGTCCCGCATCAAGTGGGATTACTCGCCTACGTTTGATCCCACTCCGTACTTGTCCGACCTGGTACGTTCCGCCTTTCACGACCCCGACGTCATGCGGCTACCAGAGGACGAGTGGCCTTCGGGCTTTTCGGGTGCTCGTGTGCACATGGACCGCGAGCAGCTCTGGGAGCTCCTGCGCAAGTGGGACTCTTGTGGCGCCCTGTATCTGACTCCCTCCGACAACCTCGCCTGGGACGAGGCTTGTGGAGCGTTCAGGGTCCCGAAGGACGAGGCTTATGACCGTCTCATCCTGAACCCGACGGTAGTAAACAGTCGTTGCAACAGCGTGTCCTCCAGCACTCAACGCCTTGGCCAGGGTTTCCTTCTGTGCCGCCTGGGGCTCGCGCCCGGGGAATGGCTGGTGGTCTCATGCGACGACCTGCGCGAGTTCTACTACACGTTCAAGGTCCCGCCCGCTCGTGCTCGCCGCAACGCCCTCCGTGTCAAGCTCCCCAGCTCGCGGTTCAGAGGCTTCGACGCGTGGCGGGAGGACCTTGAGGGGTTGGACGTTTCTCCCTGCCTTAATGCGCTGGCCATGGGTGACAACATGGCAGTGGAAATCGCCAACTCCGCACACGAGGGCGTGCTGCGCAGCTTCGGCGCGCTCCGGCCTACCGAGCAGGCGGTGCATCGTCTGCCGTTCCCTCGGGGGCCGTACGTCGAGATGTTAAACATCGACGACCACACGGGCTTTCAGAAGCTCTCGTGGCGCGGGAGCGCCCCGCGCCCCGACGACCCGACACGCCGCGACAGGGAGGTCTTTGCTGCGTGCGATCGCGGCTACCCCCGGGTGGGTCTCATTCAGCACCCCGGGAAGAGAGCCAGGGGCGAGACCCACAAAGTCGTTGTCGGCGCCGAGGTGGAAGGCAGGATCGGCATAGTGTGTGCTCCCCTGGTTCGCACTGTGGCCCTTTGCCGCCTGACTCTGATCCAGGTGTTCCTCGGTCGCTCGACCCGGGCGTTGTTGAGCTCGCTCGTGGGCTGTTGGGTGCAGGTGTTTTTGTATCGACGTCCCATCTTGTCGATATTCACTCACATCTACACCTTCATCTCGACTCTTCCCGACGACGGGCTTGAGTATGAGCTTCCGTCTTCGGTTCGCGACGAGTTGCAAGCGTGCACGTACCTAGCTTTCGTTGCGATGACCGACCTACGGGCGACGCCTTGCCCTGAAGTGCACGGCACGGATGCCTCCCTCGGCTGGGGCGGGGTTGTCCGCAGCGACATCAGTTCGCACCTGTCGCAAGAATTGTGGCGGCGCTCCGAGCATGGCGGCTGGCATACTCGTCTCCACGACCGCCATCTGCTCATGGTTCTGAGCCGCGGGGAACCTTTAGGCCCCGAGTTGACCCAGCTGCACCGCGAGGCCGGGCTTCCTTCCCTCGAGCTCCCCATCGCACCGCGCTGGGTCAGTGAGTTGTCGGAGGCGCTGCGTTTCCGCTTAGCTTATAAGTGGGAATTTCGCATGCCCCGCCACATCAACATCCTGGAGACCACCGTGTTCAAGAGTCTGTGCAAGTACTGTTGCATCCGCAACCCTGACTCACGGATCCCTGTTCTCTTGGATTCTCAAGTGGCACTAGGCGCGGCCGCCCACGGTCGGAGCAGCAGCCCTGGCCTTTCGCATGTGTTGAGCACCTCCTTGCCGTACATTTTGGGGGGCGGGCTCTACATGGGCGGGCTCTATGTTCCGACCGACGTCCACCGAGCGGACGACCCCACGCGCAATCGCCCTGTTCGCCCCCCCTCGCGTGTCGAGCCTGCTTGGTTGCTTGACATCGACGAGGGGCGCTTTGAGCGATTCGACATGATAGCGGCCGCCGACGCCGCATCCGCCTACCCGACTTGTCTGTGGGGCCGGTTCGTGCTGCAAGTTCTGGCTCGCAGCCCCGCCGCGGGCGCGGGCCCGCTCGGGCTCCCCGCGGATCGCCACGTGCGAGCGCCAGCCCAGGTCGACAGGGGAGACGCGACGGCCTCCGCCGAGGCCCGCGGCGCATATGAAAGCGCCGCGCCGCGCAGGGGGACTCCCTTTTCCGTCGAGGTGCCCTCGAGCGCGGCAGCGGTGAGCTTCTCCGCGTCGCGATGCACTCGCGCCCGTGACAGCCTGCCGGCCGCCCCTCGGGTACCAAGCCCTTCGCCGTCCCCACCGGTAGGCATGCGCCTCTCCAGCGATGCTGTTACGGCCCCGCAGGGAGGAGTTCGTGCCGCCGGCGGGGGACCAGGAGAGGGTGCGCCCGAGCGGAGGTCACGCGCCAAGTGCGACGCAATCGCCGCTGCTCGACCTGGTACGCCTGCGGGGGACACTCACCCCGTCTCGCTTCTGTCGAAGGCAACCGGCTCGGCTCCCGCTTCGTTGGGGGGTCTTCTGGGTCGTCCACCCGTCACGATTCAGACTCGCCACCGCCAAGCTCGTGCCGCCAAACTTGCTGCTGCGCACGGCCTGCTCCACCTGGAGCGCGGTGCGACCACTGATCGCGTGAACGCTCAGTTTCGACGGCTGGGTTGGGCCTGCCATCCCGGCCGCGATACGTCGATCGAGGCCAGCAGGAAATGGCGTGCTCTCTGTGACGCCAAAGCCTTCATCCTCGGGCCTGGGCGCGATGTGGTTGGCTCCGATGCCCCGGCCTCTGGCGGCGCTACTCGCCGTGCTTCAGGCGGAGGGCTCTTGGCGGCGGGAAGGCGTGACGACACGAACCGCTCGCGCGGGGTCACCACTCGGGATTCGGCTCTCGACGCCTCCCTTGGTGCTCGCCCCCGCGGCGTGCCGGGGGAGCGTCGGAACGCCCATGGTGCGTATCCAAACGCAGAGCCGAGCGCGGTCGCTAGCTGGTGCGATTCAGGGTCGCGGGCTGCGCCACGTTGCGCAGTGCAGACCCCCGCGATGCCCACTGCCGCCATGCGACGCACGCAAGCTCGCCTGGAGGCCGACCTGAGGGCCGCCCATACCGCGGTCGCGGCGCTCCCGTCCTTTCGAGCCAGCACCTTGCCCCCCTTGCCAGGGTGCCGCACCGACGCCCATAGCGTCGCGCCGCGCGCCAGCTCTGCGCCTGCCCTGCTGGCCGGGCGCTCGCAGGGCGCAGCGGTTATGCTGCGTGCTACCCGCGAGCGGGCTGCCATTGCGGCCACCGCCGGGGCGGCACAACCCAGAGCCGTGCTTCCGTGGGGCCACAGCGCAGCACGCAGCGAGGTGTCGCCGGTTCCCAGCCTTCCCGACTCCTGCTGCGCCGACAAGCGTGCCGACTCCTGCGACGCCCAGCTCACCGAGTCCCGCGGCGACCAGCTCACTGACTGTCATCCCTCCCAGCTCACCGACTTTCGCACCGACCAGCTCGCTGACTCCCGCGTCGACCAGATCGCCGACTCGCGTGCCGAGGGGCTCGCCGACGCCCGTGCCGTCCAGCGCGCTGACGCCTTCACTTGGTCCGACTCCCGTGCCGATCCGCTCACCGGGTTAGCACTGCGCACCGGCCGGGTCGTGGGCCCGACGACCACGGTTGCGAAGCGCGTGCGGGACGAACGGCGCGCTTTGGCACGGTTCCGCGCCTCGGTCGATGCTTGCGACGCCGCCCTTACCGAAGTTGAATTCGGTCGAGGCGCGGAGGCTGGGGGCCCAAGTCCGGTTGAGCTTTTGCAGTCGTCCTTGGCCGAGCTCGAGCGCCAGAAGGCGGCGTTGCGCATCGCCCGCTCTCGCACTGCCGAATGCATCAGAGGTTGCGTTTCCGCTTCGGGCTTTTCGGGTGGAGGCGCCGCCGCAGCCGATGCCGGCGCGCCCCTGAGTGCTCCCACCACGGCCGGTAGCGCTACGCACCGCCAATCGGGAGTCGCGCCGAGCACCGGCGATGTCAGCGAGGCCCCCCGCGCCGAACAGCGCAAACGCAGGCGTGTTCGGGCGCTCGCCGGAGCGGCAGCTACCACTCCGGCCAATTCGTCTGGTCGCGAGCCGCCCGCGCCAGCCTTCGTGGCAGGGCGCCAGGAGTGGCCTGCCTCTCTGTCGCCTGCGTTTCCCGAGGGGGCTTCCGAGGCCCTCGGGGTGCAGGTGGACAGCCACTGTCGGCTCGTCCCCTCTTGCGACGACCAGCGCACTCGTTCGCTTAAAGCGTTTGACGTGTGGTGCGTCGAGCACACAGGTGTGGCACTTGCCACTTGGGCCCGCAGCGGCATCTTGCTCGGGAGAGCGCTCGCGACCTTCGGCGTGTGGTTGTACGATGCTGGCCTCCCCCGCCTCGTCCTTGTGAATGCGATCCGGGGAGCGCAGGCTCTTCAGCCCCAGTGGAGGGGCGTCCTCACCGAGGCGTGGGATGTGGCAAAACGGTGGATCCCTTCCAAGCCTCCCTGTCCCATCCCACCGCTGCCACGTGCTTTGCTGCGCGCCATGGTAGCGTTGTGCCTCGCATGGGACTGGCCTGATATGGCCACCCTGCTGCTTGCCGTGTTCACTATGTCCGTGAGGCCTGGTGAGTTGGCAACCGCCCGCCGGAGCGACCTCACTCTGCCCATTGACCGCCGTGAGTCCGCGGGCGACGCTTTGCTGAGCATCTCTGTTCCGGAGGCCCAGGGGTCGGGCGGAGAGCGTCAACACGCTCGGTGCTCCGACCGAGCAGTGGTCAGGATGATGGAGCTGGTCTTCAGAGATTTGACTCCCACCGATCCCCTGTTGACCTTCGGTCAAAGCGGCTTCCGTACTCGGTGGCTCGATCTTCTTTCGGCGCTGGGCGTCCCGCTCGCCAGAGCGCCATCGGGGTTCGATCTGTCCCCTGCGCTGCGCTTCAGAACCGATATTTCGGACGGCATTACTCGCGTCTTCTGGCGTGATCGCTGGCGGCAAGCTTCCAGTACGGAGCGATATCTTTACGATGTTGCCGCCTCTGCAGTCCTCCCATCATTGGCTGAAGCTGCTCGGGACCGTGTTTCTTACCTCGCCGACTCCAGCGACTTCCTCGTCGCATCCTTTCTGAATGTTGGCCCGGCTGTGTGGCCCATTCAGCTCGCGGCCGCCCGCCGAAACCTTGTCACTTCGCAAGGGCTTTGAGCCTGGGTGTGGCTGCTGCGGCCTCCCTTGGCCGCCCGGGTGCCCTCGTTGAACGAGGCCGCCTGAGAGCGTCGCACGGCCCGCCCGCGTAGGCCTGTCCCGCCTTACGGGCCGCCGCGGGCGCGCGCCGCGCGTTCGCCCTGAGACGACTGCTCACTTGCGCAGCGTGCGGGGATGCTTCTTCTTATCCCCATCGCGCCCGCTGATTGCAGTCGTCTGCAGCTTCTCGGCCCCCTCCCTCTCTCCTCCCTCCTTCTTCGAAGGCTGACCTGCGGCGCTGCTGCGGCCTCCCTTGGCCGCCCGGGTGCCCTCGTTGAACGAGGCCGCCTGAGAGCGTCGCACGGCCCGCCCGCGTAGGCCTGTCCCGCCTTACGGGCCGCCGCGGGCGCGCGCCGCGCGTTCGCCCTGAGAGGACTGCTCACTTGCGCAGCGTGCGGGGATCCTCCTCCTCCTCCTCCTCCTCCTCCTCCTCCTCCTCCTCCTCCCCCTACCCCTCCTCCTCACCTTTTGCCGTGATCTCTTGTGCGGGCGGGGGGGTGAAGCTTGGAGCTCTGAGGCGGTCCAGCTGGCCGCCTCGCTGTCAGGCGTCCGTCATGCGGCGTGCTGCGTGTCGTGCTGCGCTGCGTGCTGTGCGCTCCCTCTCCCTCGTCACCCTCGTCGCTCTCTCCTCACGTTTCCAGTCCCTGCGGTCCAGCTCCTTTGCTTCCGCCCCCCCTGTTGCCCCCGCCCTTCCCCTCCCTGGAGTCCAGTTCCTTCGTTTCGCTCCTGTCTGCGGCCACCCGCCAGTGGAAGCAGACGCTGGGTCATACGGAGTTTGTCCATCCCATGTCGGGGTTGAGAGCCCAAAGCTAGTTTGCGTCACGTGTTGTTCATGTTATATTAGAATGACGTTGGCCCTGTCGAAAGAAAACGGAAGTGTGAACGCTGCCATGTGGGGGGCAGTTAATTCAACGACAAGTGTCCCACGTCACCCTCTGTTGTGGCTGCCCGCAAATTGAGTTATACTTTGGACAGTGTGAAGTTTGCCCGCCCATCTTGGGGTTGGGAACCTAATTCTATCGCAATGCGTAGCGCATGTTATGTTGTTGTTGGGCTTCAATGCTTCACGCTTCGCGTGTCCCCACCAGCCCATTCAAAAACCCGGCACATGAGAGTTGACGGGAGAAGGGACGAAGAGACACATGTAGTGAAACAAACAGGGCAACCAGGGCAAACAGAAAGATCGTTGGGCAAGGGGGTGGCTTTGCAGGGCCTTTTCGGGCCATCCCTGGGGCCCGCGTGGAGGCGGATCGGATCGGAACCAAGGCCCATCGTCGGCCGAAAACGAAGCACAGAAGCGAGACACACGAGGCGAAGCCTACACGCAGTGTAAAAGCTTGCGAGGAACGAAGCCTACGAGGCGACAGTAAAGACTTGCGGGCGAGCGCCCCTGGCTCAGGCGTGACGCCACACCCAGTGCGAAGGACGGCCGTCGCCACGATGGAAGGCTTCGGGGCGCCAGGCAGGGAGGTGGGCACGGGACGCTCGAGGGCCCAGGCACAGGGTTCGTCTCGGTTCCTCCAGTTCGATTCGAGTCGAGCTCGATGGTTTCAGTGTGGCGTGCGCCAACCAAGCCGGGATCGGCGTCACCCTAAGATCGGAGGTGAGGCGGTGAGATCGAAGTGGAGCGGCGAGCCCCCCTACCGGGAAATCGATTTCGGTTTCGTGTTCGTGCGTGCCGTGCGGGCGGGGCGAAGCTGCGTGGGCGGGCGAGAGAAAGTCTCCTGTGGCTGAGGCGCGGCCGGACCAAATGACTCCCTTCCGGGTGGCCGGTGGCCCGCGGTGTCCCGCCGGTGTCCCGCTGGTGTCCCGTGTGGCTGAGGCGCGGCCGGACCAAATGACTCCCTTCCGGGCGGCCTGTGGCCCGCGGTGTCCCGCCGGTGTCCCGCTGGTGTCCCGTGTGGCTGAGGCGCGGCCGGACCAAATGACTCCCTTCCGGGCGGCCGGGGGCCCGCGGTGTCCCGCCGGTGTCCCGCGGTGTCCCGCGGTGTCCCGCGGTGTCCCGCGGTGCGGTGTCCCGCCGGTGTCCCGCGGTGTCCCGCGAGGATGATGATGAGATGATGATGATGATGATGATGATGATGATGATGATGATGATGATGATGATGATGATGATGATGATGATGATGATGATGATGATGATGAGGATGATGAATGATGGTGATGATGATGATGATGATGATGATGATGATGATGATGATGATGATGATGATGATGATGAATGGGTGTCCCGATGAAGATGATGATCATGTGATTCATGATGGTGCGATGATGATGATAGTGTCCCGATAATGAGGATGATGATGCTCATGATGATTATGTTGATGATGATGACGATGATGGTGTCCCGATGATGATGATGATGATGATGATGATGATGATGATGATGATGATGATGATGATGATTCCGATGATGTTGGTGATGATGATGTTGATGGAAATGGTGTCCCGGCGATGATGATGTTGATGATGATGATGTTGATGATGATTATGGTGTCCCGATGATGATGTTGCTGATGATGATGATGATGATGATGGTGATGGTGATGATGGTGATGCTGATGGTGTCCCGATGATGATAATAATGATAATGACGATGTTGATGATGATGTTGCTCATGATGATGATTATGATGATGATGGTGCCCAAATGATGATGATGTTGTTGATGATGATGATGATGCCGATGATGATGATGATGCGAGGATCATGATGATGGTGTCCCGAGGGTGATGACGATGTTGATGATAAGGTTGATGATAAGAACGATGGTGATCATGATGGTGTCCCGATTATGATGATGATTATGATGATGCTGCTGATGATGATGACGATGACTGTGTCCCGATGATGATAATGATGATGATGATGTTGATGATGAGAGGATGATGGTGATGATGATGATGTTGTCCCGATGATGATGCTGACGTTGATGTTGATGTTTATGATGATGATGATGATGATGATGATGATGATGATGATGATGATGACGGTGCCCTCATGATGATGACGATGTTGGTGATGATGTTGATGTTGATGATGTTGATGATGATGATGATGATGATGACGACGTTGATTGTGAGAGCGATTGTGATATCGATAGTGAGATCGATATTGAGACCGAATGTGAGATCGATTGGGTGATCGATTGTGAGATCAATTGTGAGATCGATCGAATGAGATAGATCGAGTGAGATCGATTGTGAGATCGATCGAGTGAGATCGATCGAGTGAGACCGATCGAGTGAGAGGTTGGTTCCCCCCCCCCCGAACCTCCTTATCACCCGAAGGGTGGTCGTATAGGTACTTATACTATATGTGCGTCGCCCCCACAGGGTCGACGCGCGCACCGAAAAATCTTGTAGTACATGCGTCGTGGCGGGCGCTTTCTGGCCACACCGCTCGGGAAACGATGTACTACAAGATGGGTATACTGTATGTTCGGGTCGGACGCGCGCCTCCAAGGAGGACATATAGTACTAGTATGTCTCTGTGCGTTCCATGGGAGGAAGGACGCGGGAAGGGAGAGACTGGCCGCACAACATGTGCGACAGAGAGGCCCCACACGGCACATGGAGTGTGAGGCGACCTGCGGGCACGCAGCCTCGCCCAGGGCAGCTATGCAGACCAAATTCTGCAGCACAAAATGGCGGACAGCCAACACCGATCTACCGATAAGTCTTGCATGTCCTTTTACAGGAGGAGTATTCAAAAATAGTCGAAAATAGTCTGGGGACGATTTTTGACTACCTTTTGAGCATGTTTAAATATGTTTGGGTACTGTTTAATACTTCGCCAAACAATCCCCCTGTAGGGTGACATGCTCGACCTAGATCTACCGGTAGCGGTCACGCGTGCACCACGGAAGGGCATCGACGGAGCGCAGGCAGGTTGTGTGCAGACAGCATTATCAATTGGGGCCGCAGGCACGTGCGTTGACCCAAAGGCGAATGGGGGAGATCACGATGGGGGAGCATCCTCCTCCTCCTCTTCCTCGGGCTCCCTGTGTAGGGTCACGGAACGTGTGAGGGGTGGGCCGAAACGGGTGCGGCGGTGCCACGCGGACTGCCATTGAAGCCTGAGGTCGCGAAGCATGTGAGGGATGTGCCGAAAGGGGTGCGGTGGTGCCATGCGGGCGCTGCCACTTGGACCTTCGTTAGAGCTCCCAATGGTGCCACAACGCGTGCGAAGGGTGTGCCGCAACGGGTGCGGTAGTGCCATGCGGGCGATGCCACTGGGGCCGTCGGTGGAGCTCCTTCTAGAGCCAATCAATGTATGAGGCGTGTGCCGAAACGGGGCCGGTTGTGCCATGCGGGCGTTGCCATTGGAGCCTTCGGTGGAGCTCCTTATATGGGGCGACGAAGCGTGTGAGGGGTGGGCCGAAACGGGTGTGGTGGTGCCATGCGGGCGCTGCCATTGGAGCCTTAGGTGGAGCTCTCTATGGGGTCATGAAGCGTGTGAGGGGTGTGCCGAAAGGGGTGCGGTAGTGCCATGCGGGTGCTGCATTCGGGGCCTTCAGTGGAGCTCCTTATGGGGCCACGCAACGTGTGAGGGATGTGCCAAAACAGAGGCATGCGAGGCCACTTGGCAGGAGGGATGAGGAGAGGAAGGGGGAGGAGGACGGAGAAGGAGGAGACGCGGGGCAGTCCCTTCAAGACGGGGACCCCACACGGGATGGTTGGGACAAACACTCCAGATCTCTTCGCCCTGCCAAATCAACCGAAGCTCGTGCTGAATGAATCCTCCTCCTCTTCTCCTCCTCCTCCTCCGCCTCTCTCCTCCTCCTCCTCCTCCTCCTCCTCCTCCTCCTCCTCATCTCCTCCTCCTCCTCCTCCTCCTCCTCCTCCTTCTCCTCCTCTTCCTCCCCCTCCTCCCCCTCTCCTCCTCCCCCTCCTCCCCCCCTTCCCCTCCTCCTCCTTCCCTCCTCCGTCTTCCTCCTCCTCCTCCCCCTCTTCCTCCTCCCTCCTCCTCCTCCTCCTCCTCCTCTTCCTACCCCCTCCTCCTCCCCCTCCTCCTCCTCCTCCCCCTCCTCCTCCTCCTCCCCCTCCTCCTCCCCCTCCTCCTCCTCCGCCTCCTCCTCCTCCTACCCCTCCCCCTCCTCCTCCTCCCCTCCCTCCTCCTCCTCCTCCTCCTCCTCTCCTCCTCCTCCTCCTCCTCCTCCCCCTCCTCCTCCTCCTCCTCCTCCTCCTCCTCCTCCTCCTCCTCCTCCTCCTCCTCCTCCTCCTCCTCCTCCTCCTCCTCCTCCTCCCTCTCCCCCCCTCCTCCTCCACAAGAGCCGCGCCGCCTCCCTCAGGAGGAGGCCGAGGTGAACTGCACCCCCGAGGAGCTGAGCGCCATGGAGGAGGAGGCCTCGGCGCGTCGAGAGCCGATGCCGATGCTCGTCGTCGTCGTCGTCGTCGTCGTCGTCGTCGTCGTCGTCGTCGTCGTCGTCGTCGTCCGTCGTCGGTCGTCGGTCGTCGGTCGTCGGTCGTCGGTCGTCGTCGGTCGTCATCGCTCGTCGCTCGTCGCTCGTCGGTTGTCCGTCGTCGCTCGCTGGCGTGCCGTGTGCGCAGCTGCGCTGCGCAGTGTCGCGCGGCGTTCTGCTCTGTTGTCCGGCGGCAAGCGAGGGGGACGAGGCCCTCTCAGAAGGCGGTTGGGCTTCTCAGAAGCTCCGTGGCCTTTCAAGAGGTCTTCCCCTCTCCTCCCCACACGGTTTCCCGCATCCCCCAGCCACCTCCCCCTTCCCACCCCGCCTTGCCGTAGCGCTCCTCCCGCCCCCCCATATGTTGCTCATCCCCTCCCATGACCACGGCTTCTGCCGCCGCCGCCTCATCCTCTTCCGCCTCCTCTTCCTCCTCCTCCTTCGCCGCTCATCGTCCTGCGTTCCTCATCTTCCTCTCAGCATCCATCTTCCTTCACCTCCCTTCTCCTCGCTCCCCCACTGCCTCTGTCAGTTTGGCGATCCTCCGTATATGTGCCGCCGATGTGATTCGTACACTTGGAAAGTGCTAATGTCAATCGTTGCCGTCCTACAGGCAACGCGCATAGTAAGGACGAGCGCCTTCCGAGGGTACCCTTATGTCCTTGCCTCTTCGGCCTGTACATCGCGGTCTTCGCTGGCCAGCCTCTCAAGGCCCCCTTGGCGCGGGCAGCGTCCTTCGGCTGCGCGGCTCACCTGTCCCATCGCCTTCCTCTTCCTACAAGTGCCGAGCTTGTCTTGTGCTGTTCCTCCGCCTCAGCCCCTGTGCGGGTGCGACCTGGGCCGTGTGCCCCCGCGCAGGTGAAGGAGATGGAGGCGTCGGTGAGGAAGGACGCGAAGTCCCAGGGCCTCTTCCTAG